CCATTTATTTTCCCATAGATAGATAAAATATTAAGAGTTTAAAACACAAGACAGAGGCTAACCCGCTACACAGAAACTAATATCCACAGCATGGTTTTCATTGATATTTAAAACTTAAATTTGGCAAAATGTTTTATTGACATTTTTCTAAAGTTTGATAGAATTTTAGATCTTGTAGTCATTTGTTACCAGCCGATCAAACCTGAGCAGGCTTTAAAAAAAACAATTTTTTTTCTAGTTTATGGGAAAAATGAAAGGGAAATTTTCTTCTAAAACCAAGCAGTGGGCGGTCTCTGTTGAGATCCATACAGATGAACTCATTTCAGAACACTTCCTTGTTCAAGTGAACAAAAAGGAATAGTCAGGGACACACATTCTGAGTCATGTGATAATCTCTCATCATGACTTAGCACATTGGCCTCATGTAATAAAACGATTCAGCATTCAAAATACTTTAGTTCAACTTTAGTTCAATTCCACTAGACAGATTCAAAAAAGTAGGGTTGTACCTAAATCAAATTGTAAATCAATTGTAATTATAAATCTATATATTTTAAATCAATACTAATTGACTGATCTTGCTATTGTGCTTTTGATTAATTAATAAGTTAGTTAGACTGTAAAGGCCTCGATTAATCGCGACTGACTGATTACTGAAATAGTCGTCAACTATTTTAGTAATCGAATAATTGTTAATTGGTTTATATGCTAATATGCCTTATCTCATAATTACAGGCCTTTTGCAATTTATACAACTAACTATTAATAAATAATAGTTGCAGCTGTATATAAAAACATGTGTCCTTTCTGAGAACAGGCTTGCATCTCCACAAACCTGGCTCTTATTTGATCTGGAGGAGGGTGTCCTCCTGCTTGTTTCCATGGAAATGTTCCCTTTTATTCCCTGACAGATGTTGAGGAAAAACCTACCGTTAACTTGTGCACGTATTCTTGGAAAAACAAAGTGTTTGAGTTTGTTGTGTGGAGCCTGCTGTTATTACCACCATCTTTGTTTACTCAGCCTGAGCCTAGCGCTGTGGGACACTGCCTTCAGCGCATTAACCGCTAATGTACACCACAGGACAATGCCTCTTGGTTTTCACAGCTTCTTGTCACTTACTCAAATCTGTGCAGCTCCCTGCACCGCGGTTATAAATGCCACTGTAATCTGTGACACGACTCGGGGCTGTGGCAGTAGATAAAGTGTGTGCGAGCCAATTACATAAGGTTGTAAACTTTAAACGTGAGGTGGATTTGTAGCCTTAAACAGATTTGGGCTGGTTTATTTGGCTCTTGTCCATCAGTGGTGACCTGCAGAGTCTAATCCCACACTGTAGGCAGCTGGAACCGGGGTTATTTTACAGACAGAGCCTATCTCACACCACAGGAGGCCGGGCTGTTGAACATAGTGAGATGTGCATACGTGAGAGCAGCCACATCAAAGGGCTACAGGTTCACATTCATAAAGAGTACACTGCTATGAAGAGAGCATGAGTATATTCAAAGTAAGGCTAAATGATTTGGGAAAAATATCTAACTGCGATTTTTCTGAAAATGACTGGAATTAGAGTAGCGATTTATGTTTTAATAATAGGGTACAAAGTTCACATTTTAAACGTGTCGACAAAATAATTGCAAGAAAGACTGAAATATGAATGGGCAAAGTAATACAATAATCATATTTCAGAACATGTTTGTACAGAAATAAAGTTTTTATGCAGAATGAGACAAGATATTTTGTTATTTGTGGAGGAAATTATGGTATTTCAGAAAATTGTAGCCTTTGCGATTTGCCAATTGTGTCCTTTAAAAATGTGATTTTGAATCGGTTGCAAATAATCTTGCAGCCCTAGTTGTAAGTAGCAACCTGAAAAGATAAATTCATGATTACAAATAATAGACTAGATATACAGCGCTCTTTCTGATGATTGTCAGAATTGATCGTTTTAAGATTACCGGCAATCTATAGGGAGACAACAGTACTGAATGCCTAAAACGTATTGCCATGGTTATTATTTTCTCTTTGATATTTTAATTGGATAATACCTTACATTTATATTGCACTCGATATGCTTAAGAAGCTTCTTGAGGAACTGTATTGTTATTATTCATTCACTCCACAGTCCACACTCAATAATGGTAAGCTTCTTAGTCACAGTTGCCCAGGAGAAGACTGCTAGAAGCAAAGATGCCACTGTATGCCTATGGCAGCTGTGACCACCACCAATCACTCACACACCTTGGTGGGAAAACGCACACTGAGCCACTACCAATATTATTATAAGGGAAAAAAAAAAAAAAAACTGCAACACGGAAGTTCCCAAAAATGTTTTAGAACTTATCTGTGTTTAAATTCTAAGAACTGACACCGGCAACTATCACCCTCAACATCAGACTTAACTCATATCAGGAATCTCACCCAGCAGCTTTCCAAGTAGGAAGCTGTTAATGTTTAATAAATAACATTACTAGATCTTAATGGAATTTACCTACTGGCGGTGAGCAGGTCACTGAATGACCCGCTTATTAAAGCTGGATGAAGGCTTACTCTGTTTACGATTGAATATAAAGGATCAAACATTAACATCACTACAGACTACAGTAGATAACAATTTCAGAATTTCATTTAGAACAACAAGCAAAAAAGAGAATTCATAACAATACTATTCTAAGAACTACTTCCATTATACATTATTGGTTTCTAGAAAATAAATGATCAAAAGTCCAAAACAGTAACAATAGCACAACCCACGACTCAATATCTCAAGTTCAAATACAGGGGCAGGGATTGACTCTGAGGCAAGCTTTAGCAACATCAGCACCAGACAGAACGACCTTTACTCACAGTCTATACCATTTCTATTACACAGTAACCAGAGACTTACAAAAAGCCACTGACATTTTGCACACACGGCACAGATAACTTTTTTTAAAGAGTTTCAGCATGTTTGGATAGTATTATTTAGCTAACAGAGAAGCCATTGTAGATCACTTTTAAAGAATAGTTATTTGTAGAAACTATCATGTTGTCAGTCACTTCCTGGAACTCAAGTTTTTTTATGTGTACAAATGTGACAGAAGGAACTGTGAAAGAAATTCCAGCGTAGTCATAGTACAATTATCACTAAATAGTTTATTTTTAGATTCTTCTGTTCCTGTTTTAATGTCATTTACAAACTGCAAGCATTTTGAACTTGTATTAAACTAGTAAACTACTGCTATTCCGAATACAAAGTGGTTTTCCTTATAGTGAATAACAAGCTTTGCTAGCAAGTAGTATGCAACAATTTATGGGCTAGTCGAGATGTATTTTATACTTACTTAGTTATAATTCATCATAATCGTGATTTCATCACTGTAATTGTTAACTGGACTATACAGACTGTAAAATGCATGCCAAAAGCCGTTTTATAACAAGGGATAGTGATGTTATTGAACCAAATGTCAAAAAATACATGTACATACATATAAACACTATGTAAAATTCTAATCTCTATAGTTTTTTATTATTAAAATAGACTACTTTCACATTTTCAATATTTAGAAGCCCTCAATCATCATATTTTTGAACCATTATTTTGTAAAAAAAAAAAAAAAACTAAACTAAAAAATCTCAGCATACATCAAAAATAATCACAAACTAGTTGGCCACTAAAAATATTGTTAGTTGTAGTGACGGTTGTGCAAAAAATATTGAAATATCAGTATAACCTATTGTTTAATGTGATGATACAGTACTGATATCGTGGGCTGCTCTATCGATATATTGCCAAGAGTATTTTTGGGTATATATATTACTAAATTAATTTGTTGCAGTGCTACAGTTTTGTTGTGTGTTTAGTGGAAGGAAACTCGTTTATGCAGCACATTTGACATATTCACCGTTTTGATGATTAAAATGGGTGGGTTTCATATTAACTTTGCCCAAGAATTGGTTTAACAAAGATCTTTAGTATCACAGCCATGGTTTAGCTATTATTTTTTATTGAACTGTATCGAATTGACTTGAAACATGTCATATCGAATCGAAAGTGCACTGTATCAAGATATGTATCGTACCGGCAACTTCTTAATGATACCCAGCTCTGGTTACAGCGTTACTATACTTATCAAATCCATTTCTACCATCATCCAAGGCATACAATTTTCATGTATAATGCTCAATGCCCACTATAGCGTATTCGACCTAATTCGGGCTAAAGCACAGAAACCATTATGTAATCCACAAAGCCTCATCCCACACCCCTTTTAAAACAACTGTCAAAAGTCTGCTTCATGACAAACACACCTCCAATTACAACATCTTATCACGAACTATTATCCCACTAAACAATGCACATTTTAAGAAGGATCGCCAAAGCACCAGAACATTCCGGGACATCCTGACGAAAGAAAAAACCAGGAAGCGTGCATCTTTACGTGCAAATAATGTTTCTTCCAACATCCGCCAGAAAGCGAGAGAAAGAAACTACCGGGCTCTGGCAACAATGGACAGACTGTTCCTAAAAGTATGCACGTCCCATTTTGCGTAGTACTCGCAAAACGTCAACGCCAGGTGATTCTCGAGTGCCCTATATTTAACGAGAATAATTGTTTATGACGCGAACAACGACACCGAGGCTGTTTAACCTGTGTATACGTAAAAATAAATAAATAAAAATAAATAAATAAAAATACTACTAGTTTAAAGTAACGCTTTGCTTTTTTTAACCGTAGAAGAAGAGGCTTGTAGCGACGTTCAATCCATCTGACACTGTTGATAGCCATTAGCCGCCATTAGCATCTATAAAATGAAATTATGTCCTCACGAATTAACGCAATGTTTAGATTTAACGCTAACCAGCTGTTCGAGTTGTAAAATAATCCAACTTAATTAAGAAACGTGTCCAAAGCTAAACAGGTGAGGATAAAGAGGTTAAAATGTAAGCGCTTCCGCGGCTAATATTGGGGAAGTGCAAGTAGTGAGTTAGCAACGCAGGCTAATCGTCACAGCGGCTTACCAGGTCAAAACAAGCCGCGACGTACAGCGAGATGCATCAATTTCGTCTCTTGTTTTTTTTTTTTTCAGGAGCCGACGTCCGGATCGCAGCCAACGTCGACGGGGATTTACAGCCTGGACGCGTGGACTTGTGTCGCTAACATGTCAGAGAAGTGGAGGTGCGGAGAAAGGCGCTCGGGTCGGTGTTTGTTAGCCGTTCTCTGGTGCGTCCGTCTCGGCTCGCAGCTCGTAGGCAGGTCGCTGCTTGAGTGAAACGAGGAGCTGGTGCCGGAGGAGGAGGAAGAGGAGGAGGAGGAGGAGGGACCGAGCTGCCAAATACTGAGCCCGCCCCCCGACAGCAGAGGGCCGCTTCTGCCGAATAGTGACCCGCCCCGCTGTAGCTAGGCAGAAACGGCAACTTTGCATCGGATATTGACCCTGGCCGCGAAAACAAGGCCTCATTCTTGCTTATCACGTTTTCTCAAAGTATTCTCCTAAATCAAGGGTGTCAAAGTCATTTTGATTCGGCGGCCGTATCCAACCGACTTTGATCCCCAAGGGGCCGGATCAGAAAACTCATGTTAGATAAACCCCAAAAATAACAATAAGTTCAAATATTTGTGCATAGAAACACAAATCTATTACAGAAATCTTTTTTAATTGAAGAATTATTATTATTATTTTTTTTTTACAAAATATTATAATATTTTGAACAACCTGAAACTTTAAGAAAAATGTAATTTCAACACAATGTTTTAACATGAACTTGTATGTAAGAGCGTTTGGAAAGAGACAAATCTTCAATTGTGCTGCTCTGGTGGGAGGGGCCACGTACAGAGACGCTGGAGACACTGCTGTGATAAACACCACAGAAAATTAACAATATTTTAATAGAAAATATAATTAAAATATTTTAGTTGAAAATCAGCCGAGGGCCAGATTAAAGGTCTTGGAGGGCCGGATCTGGCCCCCGGGCCTTATGTTTGACACCTGTGTCCTAAATATATAACTTTATTTACAGACTCAGAGTCCAGACCATACACAGAAAGACACACTAGCACACACACACACACACACACATAAAAAACCTACAGTGACAAGGTCCGTAGAATTACAATACATACAGCTGGCTCTTCCAATATTGTCAGAGTAATATTGGGTGTCACTTTCCTTAATATAAGTCAAGCAGGCTAAAATTCAATTTCTTGATTGAGCACCAGCACTTTCCCAGAGCCTTGGAGTCTTTAGAAAAATTCTGAGAGCATCATTATATACCACCTTCATCTTACACCTCTTATACAGTAACTAAAAACTAGGCCTTAACTTATTTTATTAAAGTAACATGTTATCATACTCAAGTAACTTTATTAATTATTTTAGTGCAATAACAACCAATAGGGCAGTCCAAAGGCTGGCCTAATTGCTTTAATAATTAGCTGATAACATATAAATTAGATTATTATTAGATTAGATTTGACTTCCTTATAAGTCTATGGGTGACTCTAGCTGGAGCTAGTATGAAAAAGGTCTACATACTTGCACACAGTTAATGCTGCTTGGAGTTACAGGCTAGTAACTTATGGTTTAGTTATTAGGCCTTTTAATAGATCCATGGGTTTGGCCTAAACAATCATTTACTTCATATTGTCATTTTGCTTCAAAGCAATGCACACTAGTTTGGCCCCCTTTCCCCCTTGAGAGTGGATTTATACTGCCATCTGGTGGTCAATATGCTTCATAACAGCTCTGTTTAAATCTGTCCTAGACTTTCAATTAAATACTATCATTGACTAGATTTTCATGTCAGCTCCCCCCAAATACCCAGAAATCTAATTTGCATTTTATACAGAAATAAATAATCCCCTCTTTCATTCCAAATTATTTCAGATGATCACAAAGAATGCCAACATGAGTTTTGATATGTATAGACACTTTATTGCTGTATGTTTTACACTCACTGGAGTGACCTGTTTACAATGGTCTATACAAACATATTCAGAATAATCAGTTACATACAAGCTTACAGTTCATTTACAAAATCTATAGCAATATGATCTATATATCCTAAACATAGGTCTAGGTCTATATTTATAGTTTTTGTTTATAAGTTATATAAAACAAGAATAATGCACATTCTGTGTAAATGTGTTGATGTGAATATAACAAAACCACAGCCAATTACAAAAAGAGTTCACACAGCATATAGAGAAGGTACCAGTTCAAAAAGTTCTATAGTGTATGCAAATGTGACAGCCCACAATATATCCTTGTTTACTTTACTTGTTTCCACATTATTGCCTGTTCCACAGTATCAAGGACAGGATCTTCAAAAAGATCTATGGATAGGCGAGCCCACTCACAGTAAAAATGACTGCTTTCAACGTTTTTTTTTTTTTTTTGGTACTGGTATTTCTAGATCCATACTGTGGAATACATCAGGGAAAGCAATAACATATCCTTGGAGAAATTTGAACATTTAATTTACAAATAGGGATATGTAGGCCTACTTTTTTATTGAAGACATTTACATATGTGTCTTGCATGTGAATTGTTTTGTTCTTTTTAATGTAATATACGTGACAGGCCAAACAAATATAATGCAAATTTATCACCCACTACTGGTCTGTTATGAATGGCACATAACTCCTGAACCCCATTGTTTTCCTAAACCTCATTATGATTTACAAAGACAAATAATTGTTTACATATTAATAGTGGTTATATGCTATATGACAAAGAATGACAGATGAAGCTCACATACACATCACAGAACACTGCACTTCCAGGTACAGCACTGAAAAAAACAGCATAGTCTGGATCACTCACATGTTTCACACCAGGATCAGAAAAGAATATATGCACAAGTCCTTTGAAATAATATAAAGTATATCTATATGTTTCCCCGTGCCTAAAGTGTAACATTGATAACTGCTGAAAGACTACTGACAACATGTGTCCATCCACAGAGCCACAATATATGACTGATAGATGCAATCCGGAGCAAGAAGTATAGTTTGATTGCAGATGACTTCACATGTTAAGTAATATAGTCCGGCTTTATTTGTCATATGATCCAGAAGTGAGAGAAGGTTGTGGTCTTAGGCTTCATAAACCCTGTAAAAAGAAAAACAGACATTTTAGGACATGCAAATGCAATATTTTTGTTAGCCTAAAGCTATAATAGAATGAGATGTTTACCGTATTTTTCAGACTATAAGTCGCACTTTTTTCATGGTTTGGGTTTTCCTGCGACTTATACTACGGTGCGACTTATATATTAAAATGTTCAGACTGACAGCCGTGAGAGAGTGCTCTAGGCTCATGTGTCAGTATCTGCTACTCCTATTACTCCTGTACCACTGTCACTTCGCACTCTACTGAGCATGCCTCCTGTAGAAATAGCCGCTGTCTCGCTGCAAATAGTGAGTGCAAATATTCAGCCGAAAACAGTAATCGAGCAGCAGAAAGAAAGTTTGGAGTGAGCGAGAAATTTGTGAGGGACTGGTGGAAAGCGGAGATGGAGAACACAGCTTCACGGCAACCGGGAGGGTGCACCATGCAACATTCCTGGAAGTCACTGGATGAATCGACAAAGCCTGAACTTCAATGACAATCGAAACCATCCTGTCAGGATTCAGAAAGGTCAGAATAATTCTAACTGGAACTGATGCTGAGTCTGACGACAGCTACACAGAAGAGGAAGGAGGAGGTCACGAAGAAGTGACACTGAGAATGAAGAATTCAATGGATTTAGTGATTACCTATCCAATCCAGTCCAACTTTATTTGTACAGCACATTTTAGAAACAAAACAGTTTGGAGTGAGATCGTGAGTTTGGTAAACTTATGTTATGTTGTTTATGCTATAATTGTCTGAATAACTGTTAATATGTTACGTTAACATACTAACACCTATCCTGCCTGTTGTTCTCTATTCTGTTATTATTACTATAACTGGCCTTTCGTCATGAAATGTCGGTTCCTGGTCTCTGATTTTACAAAATACATTTCTCCAAAAAGTGCGACTTATAGTCCTTCTTCTTCAGCACGCATTTTTTGGCTGGTGCGACTTATAGTTCGGAAAATATGGTAAAATGGATTACAATATTACTCATAATAATTAGAAGTAGATACAGTATTTCCAAAATGCTCAGTACTGATTATCATAGTGTAGATAACAGATTGCATTAAAGGGCCTGTACTTGATTGTTTCCCATGTATTAGAGCAAAATGTGTATTGCCCCAGTACAGATATATTGTATAAGCAGCTCTTGAGGTCAAAATAAGTCTACATTTAATTACAAAACATCATAATGTCCAGTAATCAAGGAGTGAGATTTAGCATGATAGTTTTAAGTTGTTGTTGCGTAAGGTAAGTGAGGACTACCTTTGGACTACTGCAAACCGTTTAGAATGAACTAGTTCTGTTTTTAACATTTCCAAGACCATAAAAATAAGGTACAATGCCTTTAAAAGGAATTATAGTTTAAGGGATGTGTACTGTAAGGCACCCCGACCTGGGGGTTTGAGACCTCCATAGGGGTTGCAAAATTATTTCATGGTGTCCACAAATGGCTGCAGGTGATGGGATTTACATACACACTGACACACTGATTGTCTCACTCACACTCAGTTGATGTGTGAGTGAGACTGATACATTACTCTCCTTACCTGTGCTTGTCCTTCCAGATGCGAAACCACTTGACCAGGTTCTTGGTGCTCTGGAGTTTAGGGTGAAGACAGTACTCCTGACCTTTGAACCGTGATACATTCTCCATCGTCACACTATGGGCACAGAAACAAAACACACAAATTCATTCATTAATGTTGAAAGGCAGCTGTACTCAATTTTTGTCCATGTGAGCAAAATATATCTTGCTGCAGTACAGATATATAATATAAGCAGTTCTTGAAAACAAAGGGTCCTGTCTGCGTCTAATTATGTAAGTGTTTTATTGTCAGGGAATTAGGAAGTCTGTGGTTAGCATGCTAGTTGTTGCATTACTGTGAGGGCAAAACTACAATATGGTTTCTAAACTCACTGTGCAGAGTAATTAGGATGCTCGGAATGCATAGTGAAGAATAACATAAAGAATTAAAGCCGCAAGCGGCATCGAACGGCCCTCGCCCGCCGCGCCCGCGAACGCCGTGCCCGCAAATAGTGTGCCCCGCCAACACCATACCCTGAACGCCGTGTCCGCAAACTCTGTGCCTGCAAAAGGCAAAATGACATAGTACGCCTTTAAATGTTCTTTGCACCCCCTGCTGGCCAACCTTGAAAAATTCCCATGTCAGCAATATATGTTTTTTCTTCTAGTCATCAATAGAACTGAATTCCCAAATTTGGTACAAATCCGACAATGTTGATGTTTCATGTCTATGGTAGGGGGCGCTATAGTGTTAACTTTTCATATGTTTTATAGTGTATTATATTCAGACTGAGATCACACATTAGTGATTCAAATTTCAGCATGATGGGACTAAGCATGTGCGTGTAATATATTTTTTTCTATTTTTGGGAGGAGTTTTTGCGCCCCTGCTGGCCACAAGTGAAAAATTCCCCATGTCCATAATATACTTTTTTACTCGTAATCATGCATAGAATTTAATTCCCAAATTTGGTGCAGATCCGACAATGTTGACATTTCATGTCTATGGTAGGGGGCGCTATAGTGTTCATTTTTCATATGTTTTATAGTGTATTATATTCAGACTGAGATCACACATTAGTGATTCAAATTTCAGCATGATCAGACTAAGTCTGTGCGAACAGGAGCAAATAATGTCACCTTGAAATTAGGCAAAATTTTTACTGAAATTTGCAGCTTTGCCGCACGTAAACCGTGACAGTTATCAAAATAAATCAGCTAACTTTAGATGTTCCACTTCTCTAGATGATGTACGGTGATTTTCAGCCCTGTGGGTGAAGCGCCTTCAGAGGAGTTCGTTCAAACGCAACGTCTACGAAAATGTGCACTGAAACTTCAATCCAAGATGGCCGCCTTCTGGTTTGTCAGGGGGCGTGGCCATAATAACGTTTTTTGTTTGTCTTGACATGACGAATGTGTGTACCGAATTTCATGGCTCTATGACAAAGCTGACCGGGACGTCTCCCATAGGCGCCAAATTTTTGAGTCTGGACCATCTCGTCGGGGTCGGCCCCTGACCTCCCATTGACTTCCATTCATTTTAGCAGTAGCAAATATGGCTAAGGCCTTGGGCGTGGGTTACTGGGATACTGCTGTTCGTGCTGGGGGCGACCGTGGACATAGTTGCATGTCGTCTTGTCGCATTCGGACATGCACACGTCGCTCCCCATTCGCTCCGCTTAGTGGAAGCAATAGGCCCTACGCCCTGTCGGGGCTCGGGCCTAATAATACCATTACCAACTGTTTAAAATGAACTAGTTCTGTTTTTCAAGCAAAAAAAAGTATTGTGGACATATTTAAACTGTGAACTGAAAAACAAACCAACCTGTGTCCAAAAAAAGAGCATGTCTTTATTTATTCAAAAGCATTCAGCCCATTTGAATGCACTTCTAACACACAAGTCGAAGTGATGAATTGTTTTTGCTTCAGTTTTTTACTATCAAACCTCATGACAAAAAGCGTGTTGTCTATGTTGACATCTAGCACATTGAGTCGATGGTAGCCTGTCTTAAGCTATAAGCGCAGCGAAACTTTATAGACAGTCGACCTGCATGTGGCATATTCAGGCCAAACAAGAGAAATGTGGGAAAACAGCACAGCACCATGGGGCCTCTCCCAACCACCGCACAGTCAAAAAGGCACCAGCCCGTGAATGTTAAAGCCACTGACAACAAATGAATGGGCTCTAAGACATAAAAACTCTGCGTCGACTTGATTAAAAAGTTTGCATCCATTTTCCTGTCCATTGAGTCCCTAACAAGGGTTCTCTCTGTAGGTTTTGTTACATAAGAATTGGCTTTTGGTGCGGTAAGCGTGCATTCAACAAATAGGACTTTTGTTGGAGATTTAAAGGCATACTATGTAATGTATAATGTATGTTTTCTAGTTGAGGATTCGCCACAGTTTTGTGTCCACAGAGATGTTATTGTTTGTCCTTAAAGAGGGGGTATTTTACGTCTGTTTTGCTGCTAACACATAACATATTTAGATCATCATGTTAGTTTTAATCGTTTTGAAAAAGCTATGTTCACCAGAAACAGCTTATTAACATGTTTTAGATGTTTCACTTTTGGTTTTGATCCTCTAATTCTTCCCTCCTTTCACTCTCCTTTCAGAGTGCATACCACTAATGAAACTAGTGCACAACGTATCAGGTTTGTCAAGTAGCTGTGTACTGTTTTTTTTAAAATCAAAATCAGAGATGATTTTATACACGCCAAAAGGAGAAATTCAATTTGTCAACTGGAGAAAAGTGTATTTGGTCAAATACGTTTTGCAGCTCATCCAAGCTGCTTCTTCAGTTCTGGTCAGATGCTGGTGGACACTTCCTTACATCTGCCAGAAGGAAGGAGCTAACTACAATGAAACTACTCTGAAACATACTTGAATACATCTACTTGTTTACAGTTTCTGTTAGTAAATAGGCCTATTGATCTTGCTCTAAGTGTGGGGTCATATTCTGCATTCTGTAAGTGTTTAATAATAATAATAATAATGATAATGATAATGATAATAGTAAATTATGAATTATTATTATTAAATTAATGGATCGGTTTATATAGCGCTTTATTGGATGCTCAAAGCTGCCCTACAGAGCATTATTTGCTGGTGGTAAGCTGCTATTGTCACCACACCTGCCCTGGGGCAGACTGACAGAAGCAAGGCCCCCGACCTCCATAATCACTCACGCACACACTACTTTTTTACTAGGCAATGTGGAATTCCCAGTGGTTTGCTAGATTCCCATGCAGCCTAGAAACAAAACACGCTCTAACCATAGATCAAACAAGACATTTTCTACATCATGTATACAGTGATGACTTTTGTACAAAGTGCTGGGCACATATGTCAGATCACATGTGTCGAAACAAAGAGGCATTTGGGACATGTGCTGCAAAATGATTTATTCATCACAGGAGCTAAAGCCAAACAGCTAAAGCTACAAGACAAACAGGAGCTTTGTCAGTCTGAGACAGATGTCTGATAAAGTTAAGACTGGTTTTACTTGAGTTCACAGTGAGTGAAAATATAAGTGAAGGAGGAAGGGATCATGAGATAAACACCAGTGACTGAACTTTAATGTTACAACTATAATATATGTATGTGTATTTTGTTTTCCACTTTGAACCTATAGTCTATGTAAATGGAAAGTCAGTCAACATTATACATTTCTCGGAAGAAGAGGAGAAGAGGAAAACGCCCCTGTTCAGAGACCAAATCAGCTGACTAGCAAAATGTAATAGTGTGGAACATTTCAGGAAAAGCTATAGACACAAGCAGATGGCAAACCCTAAACCAGAAAAGTTCCACAGTGCCCCTTTAAGTCATTATAAAGCCTTCATATCTGCTTTGGATGTTTGCCCATACAGCTCATCGGGGTGCAGTCTAACCTCATTAGAGTGTTCATTCAAACTTTATTTTCCCTCATTTCCATTCAGGCGCTACTGAGGCACTAATGTGGTTAGAGAAAAGTTTCATAAGGGCAGGAAACAAAACAGGGCAAGGGAACTCCAGAATACAAAATATACTAAACAGTTCAGAGAAGGGGGACTCAAAATAATGAATAAAAATGCAAATAGGCAAATACTAGACCAGAGCAACAAACATAATATGCATTATAAATGTAAGTCTAAAATATATCGTATAAAATATGTAATAACTAAAAACCTTTGTCAGAACACACTTTGACCTCAACTCTGCAATTCAGCTGCACCTCTGCTCCACCAATGTAAACAATTTAAAGGGTCTGTACCTGATTCTAAACAATGAGTGAGAAACATGTTTGAGTATGAAATGTAGCCCCGCCCACTTCTTCACAACACAGAAATGGGGTAGTGAGTCTTATGCAGTTGTTTCTTTTAGAGTTGTTTTTTCACTCTTGAAAATGCACCATGAAAGAGAATCAACTGTCTGGCGAAAGCAAACAGACAAACAAAACCCAACAGAACAAAGTGTGTGAGGTTAGCCACTTTAAGGTGAAAATATTGCATTGTGTAATAACAAGTCCTCATGCTGTATATACTGTAGATCAAAACACTTGCAGGTGCAGACCGGTGCACAGACAATTCAACTCAAAAAGCAGTTTCAGTAGTTCAAATGTTACTCCTGCACCTGGCTCCTTCAGAGAAACATTATGTGTGATGTTATCTGCTTTAACACTGTATTGAAATGACATAAAAGTAAACATCTGTGTGTAATAACAGGTCCTTATGTTGTCCTGTGGGAATCAAACACACTTTGATCTTCGCTCTCATCATTGCAGGTGCATGTGTTGTAACATAATATAAATTTCAATAGAATATCCTGCCTAAAATGTGATTTTTTTTCCTATTATTTGCATGTTGTAATGAGTAAATACATTGTAAATTGTTCTGTAGTTTGGAAGAAACCATGTCCGATAATAATTCTATGTAAAACACCAAATCAGATGTCAATTTTACATCAGTAATTTTAACTTCATAAATCTACTCACATGTTATATAGATAAAAATACAAATGTAATCTAATCTAATATTACAAGGTAACTAATGGTGACAATCAAAATCATAATATTTCTTGTCACAGTAATAATGTCCTCAATGACAAAAGTTGCTTACGCACACAGGGTCACAGGAGGGCTCTGCTTGGTGGTGCTCAGTGGCTCCTGCTCCATGCTAATATGATGCTAATAGGCTGGCCTGATGGTGGCTCCTGGCAAACACTTAGAAAGTGGACTAACAGACCAGTGTATTGGAATGTACTGAGCAAAACAAAAGGCTGACGCAAGTGTAACACTGACAGACTTGTGCACTATTGCCACATGCCAAAGAGAATTATGAATAAAAAAAGAAAAGTTGTATATTATTAGGTTCTTTTTTTCAGACCAAGAGTTTGCAGAGTTTCGGCTACAGAGCTTTGGAAACTGTCAGGTATGAAAACAAACTCTTGGTCTGAAAAAAGAACCTCATAACATAAATTAGCAGAGAAAAGTTGTATTTTAATCAATTCATGAATGTTTGAGTAATCATATTTCATATATTGTATTTGAGTGCTCAGAAATGTTCAGTTTTCACCTATCCACTATGTCCGCCCACTTCTAAAATGGAATTATAATTTCTTTAATCTGACTCCGGATCACAAGAAAAAGCAAGAAAATTTAAGTATGCTGTTTGTTACAGTGAAATGCCAATATGAAGAAGCAGGGTTGATCAGTTTTTCAGTTTTGAACAGGAAGTCAATTATTATTAAGGTGATTTAGTTAACAAAAAGTAAAATTACAATCTTTATCTCTTCAAATTTAATACTGAATTCCTATCATATGCAAAACTGACTCTTGTGAGCTTGTTGTTAAGCCATGTTAGAATGTTGTTACCTCCTCAAAAACATACCTGGACTTGTGTTTTTGTTTCATTCACACCTTTGAGTAACCCTTAATTATTAGTCTGTCCACATCTCCTGAGCTCAAAATGCTCTGTTCCACTTTGTGATGTCATGTAGTGGTAGCTTTCAAGTTAACAGCAACCTTTTATGGTTACTTTAGTAGAAATTGGCAGAGAGAGTTTGGTGTGAACGAAACAAAACATGAGGAAACAACATTATAACATTCGGTAGATCAGAAAATAGCATAATGTGGACCACTGACTGAATCTAATATTTAATTAATTCACTCCAACAGGCAAAGCTATTCTCCCTGACGGATACTACATTTAACTTATTCCTCCTGCTGGGTAATGTCAGTGCCACCTGTTTCTGAGTGGGGTATTTCTGTTCTGTCAGTGGGTGGCAGCAGAGTTCACTGTCTTGCTCCAAGCTGTATCCTGGGAAGAGGTAATAGCAAACCATCTGTTGTCTGTGCAGCTCTGTTTGGCAAATCACAAACCTAAAGCCATGAATATTCAGAGGGTCACATATTATGGCGTCACTCTCCCAGATAAGGCAGGAGATTTTATTTTTACATTCTTACTCTGGTATTTTCTAGGACATAGAGAAAAATAAATAAATATTGCAATCTGAAAATGTGTTTATCGCGCTATTTATCCACTAAAACCACAAAATGTTCATATTCAAGGTGTACTATGTAACATTTCGGAGGTTCGTCATCTTCTTGTTTCTATGGAAATGTCTCTGCCAGGAATATTCCACAGTATGAAATTAACCAGATGTACCTTTCATTTATTACAGGTGGTTTTATTAACCCTCTCAGGCACAAATTAATTTTTAGTATCAGGAAAAATCTGATATTAGGGGAAAATTATAATATGGGGTAGTAATATACAATCCTGACTTTTTTATCCTTTGTGAACAAAAAAAGTATTTTGCACTTCTGGTACAGTCTTGCACAGTCTGCATCGTCCACGTTTATCAGCATGGATGGGAGAAAAGTCTCCTGAGTAAAAAAAGCTCATAAAATATGGATGTGGAGTAAGTAGGTAATTGGAATTTAGCTGTTGCAAATCTGCAACGCCTGCCTGGAGAGGGTTAAATCTAGACAAACTTTATTGATCCACAAGGGAAAAAAATTTGACACAGTAGCTCACACATCACAATAATATAACAAAAAGTTTAAAAAATATAAATGGTAATAATAAATTTTAAATAAGTAGCAAAGAAGACAGCAAGATATAATTATATAAATGTATACCGTATTGTCTGGACTACAAGTCGCTCCGGAGTATAAGTCGCACCAGCCAAAAAATGCGCAGTGAAGATGAAAAAACATAATATATAAGTGGCACTTTTGGGGGGAAATGTATTTTATAAAATCAGAGACCAGGAAGGAAAGGAAATTTTTTGTCATCGGTGTCACTTCTACACAACCATAGATCCATGATGTAAACAGAGCGCCGCTTCCTCTTCTGTGTAGCTGTCGTCACATTCAGTTCCAATTCAAGTTGGAATTATTACGGCCTTTTTCTGGTTGTCACTGAAGTCCAGGCTTTGTCGATTCATCCGGTGACTTCCAGGAAAGTTACATGGTGCACCTGCCCGGTTGCCATGAAGCTGTGTTCTCCATTCCCGTTTTCCACCAGTCCCTCACAAGTTTCTCGCTCACTCCAAACTTTCTTTCTGCTGCTCAATTACCATTTTCAGCTGAATATTTCACTATTTGCAGCAGGACAGTGAGCTTTTTCTACAGGAGGCTTGCACAGTAGAATGTGAAGAGACAGTGGTACAGGAGTAATAGATACTGACACACAAGCCTAGAGCACCCTCTCACGGCTGTCAGTATGAACATTTCAATATATAAGTCGCAGGACCACCCAGACCATGAAAAAAGTGCAACTTATAGTCCAAAAAATACGGTATGTACAACTCAAAATATTGTTCAAAAATTGGCTTTCTGACTGGATGGAGCTGATTAGGGCAAGATTAATCGAAACTGAATTCCACCAAAAGGGTTTCTTAAAAGGATAAATTTGATAAAATATTTTGCTTAATTCTGCTCTGTTGTTTAGATCTGTACATGTTCTTAAAAAGGCCTATGTGTTTTTTTTGTATTCATTTGTCAGTTCATAGTTTTTTAAGTCATTTTGTCAAATTTTCAAGATGTGTTTAAAATCTAATCGCAGTGCTTGCCAGAAAAATCACAATTCGATATCTTTCCCAAATCGTTCAGCCCTAGAGCCCATGCTGAGGCCAAACATAATGCAAAAACAATATTAGTTACTTCAGGTCTAAAAGGCTAACCCTGAGGTAGAACTTCCATCTACAGATTTATTGTAAACTAGTATTATTGCAACTCACAAAATCATCTTCTCCTGGCAGAACGGGTGCTTGGGTTTGAGCTCCAGCTTCTGCACGTCCTTGTAGCGGATCTTGGGTCCTTTACGTGTGCACCGGCACTTGTACGCTGTGAAGAAAACACAAACGCACAGTCAGCTGGAGTGTAAGTGTTCATATTGCAGTCCCATTAGGTTCATCAGGTCTTATTCATGATTTATTGAGTCTTATAGTCAGTTCTGCTTTTTTTTTATGACAGGAGAATGCCACAAAAACGCAGGTCTCACCACAGTGTACATACTAGTATTAAAGAAGTCATATTACGCTGTTTCTGATGTTATAATATTGTTTCCTCATAAGAAACATACCCAGAGTTGTGTTTTGTTTCAGTCTCACATGTCTCAACAGTCTCAACGCACAAACCCTGCATATTTAGGCGTAGTTCTTCTCTCTAAACACTAAAACACTGATACAGGAAGTGCTCCAATGTCTTTTTAAATTCCATATTTCAGCCCTAGACTTGCCAATCTTTACTGAACAAAAGATAAAAGACAGCTGTTTACTGGAAAACTACCACTTCATGACATCACAAGGTGGAACAGAGCATTCTGAGCTTTGGATGTAGGCAGACTAATAAATCAGGATTACTCCGACATGTGTGAATGAAACAAAACACAACTCTGGGAATGTTTCTGATGAGGTAGCAACACTCAACAACATTTCTTAAAGCTCAAAGGGAATATGTAATACTTCCTAGTATACTGATTTTGGGAATTCTCAGTTATTTGTAGTACGCTGTCAACATGTCGGAAGCAGTGGGTGAGTGATCTTTCAGCAGATCTTGAGCTGTGGAATGTTTGAAATACCTAGCCGGTGTGTTAGTCCAATAATGAGAATGTATTCATTTCAGACCAAAAACCCAAGAAACAAGGAAGACTTTTCACCCTATAGGGAAATTTGTCCTCTCTTCTGAGAAATCTTTCAACGCCACTGAGGAAACCTGCCAGGAGCCATATCTCCAGATCTTGGTCTCACTTTAAAGGAAGAAAATGGTTTCCTCATCACAAACATATATCGAGTTGTTTAACACGCATACCCTGCATGTTTAGGCTGAGTTCTTCTCTCAAACGGAAAACTCAGGAAGAGCTCTACTGTGTTTTTAAACTCCATACACCTTCACTAGAATCATTTAGATCATTTCAACCCTTGAACTGCAAAATTGCTAAAGGTAAAAGTTAGCTGTTCTCTTGAAAACTACAGCTTCATGACATCAACGTTTTGAGCTGTAGACAGACTAATAATACATGATTTCTCAAATGTGTGTGTGTGTTACGAAACAAAACACAACTCCAGGTATGTTTTTGATGAGGTAACAGCATTCTTAATCTTGCACAGTAAGATGGAGTCTCATGATATTCGAAAATCCATCTTGGTATGCCCCTGCCGTATGGTTAATTTCAGTGGGAAGACCACTGACAGAGCAGCATTGAAGTTTATGTGGAACTCGAAGGTCAAGCGCCAAACAAACCAAACCAAAACAAACATGGCGACGCCGACAGATGTCCTTCACCATATTTTAACGTCATGTTTACTTATGAAAAATGTGCAGAAGGTAAGCACAGTGAAGATGTCTGTGATTTTCTCATTAGATTTAATTAAAGTTAGATTTTTCATGTTGTTTCGCTGTTGTGATAGCTTGATTCATCAGTCGGTCTGACCTCGCAGTGTTAGAATTCGTTCGCTCCACAGTAGGCGGGTACTTTTTTATCATTTAACCAATATGCTATTTGGTCATGACGTATGTAATGCGCCGCTAATGGGGCTAACTGGTATATTATTGGTATATTAAGCTTTTCCCAAATCCCGTAGGAAGAAGGGCAAGAATGTCTTTCTCCTTGATGAAATTCACCCAACATTCTCTTTGTTCCAGCTTTAAATCCTCGATCTCAGGAATCGTTGACAACACTGAATATACGGCTCTTCGCTGATTGGCTGGTGCCCGAACTTGCACTCCCGAGGTTTTTGACAACTATTGTATTTTGATTCCTGTCCTAGTCGCTGGAGAGAAATAAAATTGAGCGGAGGCACTAGGTGGCGCCAGCCTGGCTACTGTTGTGATGCTTCGACCAATAATGGTTCTACGTTTTCTGATCACTCTCAGCAAGAGCCATCCCAGACTCATAATGTGCAGAGCTCAATTCAATGCTACACTTATCAGATCCAACCTGATCAAATCCACCCAGACACAGGGAGAACATGCATACATCACACAAAACACACTGATCCAAAGCTATTAAGGAATGTAACCACGTGCATTCTTGTTCTGAAGCGTGAACTCGAATCACTACACCACCACATCTACTTTGCACCTTTTCTATGCGTTACCAGACTAATTAAGGCATCGCAATGACACATCAAGCCTACACATGAGCAGACATGGGGTGGGCACATGTTCACAGATAGAATGGTTCATCAAATATACTGTGCGGCGAGCAGCTGGGAGGAGGTGTGTGTGTGAATTAGATTCAGAGGTGTATGAACCAACAAGTCCAAGGTCTGCTCTATCCATCAGCTCTGAGCCCTCACTAAATCTGCCACTACACAGGGTCAAGATGTACCGCAAAGGACAGTAAACAGGTCAGAGCATCCACAAGGGGCTGTCTACAAACAATAAGAACATTGTTTTCTGGTCTGAATGTTTATTTTATTCAGCAAAGTTAGAGAAAGGGTATTACACTATGGGGTACTAAGTGCTAACACGTAACATATTTTGATCATTATGTTCACTTTAATTAGTTTTTAAAATGCTATATTCAAAAACAATGTGTTAAAATGTGTAAGTTTCAGTTTTCACTTCCCTTTGCTCCTCGCGCTAAGTCACTCTCCCTTCAGAGTGCCATCACAACTTAATCAGTGCGCATCCCGCTAATGAAATTACTGCACATCGCATCAGGTTTGTAAAGTTGTAGTGTATTGTTTTGTACCCTGCTTTTGTCTAACTATGAAAAGTTGCTGTGCCGAGTCTTGGATAGGAGGGTTCGAATAGGGCCGAAGAGATTACTTCAAATATCCAAGGATGATATATACAATCTCTTCAGGCATGTTTTGGATGAGGGAACAATGTTATAATATGGTGGTCTGGAATTCTGGACATAGGATCTCATTTCCTAGTGAGCCAGACCTTGTATTTAGAGAAGTCACTGGTGTTAGGCTAGTGCATGTCAATGGCCATAGTTATCCTAAAAACAGTCTTACCCACTCCATAAAACACCTGAAGCAAAACAATTATAACGCCAGACTGTCAATGTGAATGTCTGTGTTGATAGAATAATGTTTGAAATAAAAATAACCTTGCATCACATGAATTGTCACATGTTGAGGGACTATTTTCTCAACAGCAGCGGAATTTTACTTTGTCGGTAAGATAGGTGCTAGGTGATATCAGTCCGCCGCTGCCGAGCTTTCTATCAGGAAGTACAACTCACTGCTGCTGCTCAGACATAAATCCTTCAAATGCAAGGTTGGTTTTACTTCTAAAATGATTCCATGGACACAAACATTCACATTGACAGTCTGGTGTTATAATTGTTTTGCCTCGGGTACACTGTGGTAGCCAGGCTGGTGCCACCTAGTGCCTCCACTCAATTTAATTTCTCTCCAGCAACTAGGTCAGGAATTAAAATACAACAGACGGTTCGCAAAAACCCCAGAAGTGCAAGTTCGGGCACCAGCCAATCAGCGAAGAGTCATATATTCAGTGTTGGTAACGATTCCTGAGATCGAGGATTTAAAGCTGGAACAAAGAGAATGTTTGGTGAATTTCATCAAGTGGAAAGATGTTATTGCCCTTTTTCCTACTGGTTTTGGGAAAAGCTTAATATACTAGTTAGCTTCGTTAGCGGTGCATCACATACGTCACAACCAAATAGCAGCGGTTTGTTAAATGATAAAAAGTACCTGCCTACCGTTGAGCGAACTAAATCTAAGGCTTCAAGATCAGGTGGTTTGTACGAAGTGAACCAACACTCTGACTAAGTAGGAAATGAGGCCCTGTGTCCAAAATTCTGGACTGTCCCTTTAACCAAAGCCACTTTATGACTCTGTTTTCCAGTGGAGTATAGACCTATATAGCTGCAAGATTAATCACAATTAAAAAGCTGGCAATAGCAAATTGAAAAGGTTCCAACCACGAAATATCACATTTCACATCTTGGGGTTGTATTATGGACCCCAACAGAAGGAACTTGCAAACCCTGCAGTTTAGATTTCTATAAACAAGTTCTGAAATGCATGGGATTCTTGTTGAGCAGTTCATTATTCAGTCTTTTCTCAAATGGAAATGCTCCTGGAAGTGTTTCAAATATGCACTTTGAGCTTAAATCTGATTTCAAAATGTAAACCACACACTTAATCCTTTATTCCCAGCTGGAGAGAGTTTTTTTGTGTGTGTATGTTTTACAGGTCACAATAATGTATCTGTACGTATACAACGCGGCTTTACGAGGTACACAAAGCGCCTTATATTGGTGATTGGCGCTATGCTTGTGCAGCCAGTTGGCCAGGGCTGAGTGATGTCTGCCAACAGCCTCTTTGACCATTACTCTCAAACACAACACGTTCGTACACAGACAATAGAGGGTGAAGTGTCTTGCCCAACAACACAATGTCACAATAGCTCTACCTGACTGTCACCATGGTACACTGGTCAGAGCTGGAATCGGACCAGCAAGTTTAAAGTTTTTAGGCCAACACTCCTGTCACGTTTAACCCACTGCCACTGATGGGTGGGTCAAAAATAGAAACTAATCCAGAGATCATGGTTATGTTTGGTCACTGGTGAAATAGAAAAGTTTTCAAAGTCACAAAGTAAATATAAATACATACCAAAAATCAACTTGTACAATGAGACACTTTTGTATTTGTATATACTTTTGCCCTATACTTGACATTATTTGGTATGTCTCTACTTGACTGTCATGTTTTTTTCTTTGGAATAAAAACACATATAATTGAATAAATTTAATCTTTGCTTAATGCCATACTGTGAAACATTAATGGCAAAGCAAGAACTCTCTGGAAATGACATAGTGCACCTTTAAATAATATTGCGATTATTATTATTATTAAAGCCTGTACACATTTTTTCCAAAGTATTTGAGAAAAATTACACAGATATATTGTAAGTTGAGGTAAAAAAAAAGTCAGCTGTTTGATATTTGCATCTAATTATAAAGCGTTTTATAGTTCAACAAACAAAAAGTGCATTTTAGCATGCAAGTTCTTGTCTGAGTTACTGTCATAAAACTCCGCACTGGTCTTTGAGAGTTGCTTGAGAGTGCTTGTAAACTCATCGTCGTGAGTTATTAGGATGCTCTGAATGGATAAGGTAAGTAAGGAATAACTTTGGACCACTGCAAACTGTTTAAAATTACCATACAAATCCATAAAAATCAAGTACAACATCTAAACTTTGCTGTTTCAATGTATTGACTTTACATAAACTACTCTTTTAGCTAAAAAAAATCTATACAAATCAACTGAAAACAGAATTAATAAAAAAAAATAAAAAAATGCATGTGTTTATGTCATTCCAGTGAGAAGTTGTGTGACTTCAGAGGCCACTTTTCCAAGTTGATGTCTGTTTGTCCGTGTCCAAATGCAAGTGTGTGGAAGTGTGGGCATATGGTGAGTGGAGCTGGTGCCAGGCTGACAGAAGGAGCGCCCAAAGGAGCACAATCACATGCCCGACCAAGCACCAGGCACCGGGCACCAGCCAAGAGAGGAGAGAGCCTGCCACCAAGACTCAATCAATATGGTGAACAACATACTGTATTTTGGTGTCATCTTGTATAAGAATGGAAGCTTATGGTGGGTCTAGTGATGGCCAAAGTGTTACAGAAGTATCACCTATTCAGAATAATTTGACAATAACTGACAGTTTCCCACAGAGTGCAAGGAACCATCTGGGAATTAGTTTCAGAAAAAAGTTTGTCATTTATTAAAGGTGCACTATGGACCTAGTATTCACCACCTGTTTGTCTCCATGGAGATGTTATTGCTTTGCCTGGAATTTTCCATGTTATGACGTTACTCTTGTCCATTTCCATGAAGAAAAACTGGTGACGTACCTGTAATTGTTAGTAAAACAGACAAGGAAAACACCATAGTTCAGAGCATTTCATCCAAAACAATTGTTGGTCAAGCTCCAAACAAAAAAAGTTTATTAGTGCACCTTTACTTAAACATTCTCTGTGGAGATAGAAATGTTTATGCTATAGCTACTATGGGAGATTACAGCCAAAAAAACAAACAGGCAGAGGCCTTCCTCCAGACCAGATAAGAGTCAGGTCTTTGGAGGACGCACACTTTTCAGTACAATAAACACAATCAAAGGTATATTTTTAGCTAAAAAGAAATATTATTTGACTGTATGTAGATACAGTCAAATAATATTCTCAGTAACAGATAAAATGCAGATTGTGCCCTTTTCCCTGCAAATGTTTGATACAACAAACATGTAATGCAGGGGTCTCCAACCTTTTTTCTCCAGTGAGTTACCTTTACGAAACGAAAATGCCAGAGAGTTACCAATTTCAGCAGTCACAAAGGAACTGAGTAAGTATAAGAATCACGACAAGCCTTAGATAGGAAACAGTTAGATGCTTATAAAACATAAACCATTATCCATTTATCGGTGCACCATGTTGGGCATCAAAATGATACATTTACAATGGTAATTTTACTTTTTTCTTATCTTTTTCTTATCTACAATACATGTAATTCAGAAATCTCTTGGCAAGCTACTTGGAAAGCTACAGGTTAAAGACTCTTGATCTAATATAATGTTCTCATGACCAAACAAAGGCATAATACATTAGGCTATATAACAATAAAGAAATTACAGAACAGTATTGCTAAGGATGAATAACACACTGTATCTCTGACAGGCAGGTACAATTATTGTGTACATTTGTTTATATCAAGACTTTTACTAACCCTTGGCCCACAATTCTCTGAAACATTAAGTTTTTTTTCATAATATTTCCTCAACTACCGTTAGTTTAGTTTTAACTAATTGTTATAGGCTGAACAGCACTGTGCATTAGTTTATGCAGTGAAACTTATCACACCACCAACAACAACATGAAAAAAGATTTGGATCTAACAGTGGGCTTGTCTACCACTCAGGACAATACCAGGTCTAAAATGTGATATAAAATTAGAACAACAAAGACAAAAACATTATTTTTTGTTTCTGTAGAGTATAATTGCAGAGGAGGACCTGCACCACAGTTTGAGAAACAGTGGTTTAAAGTGGGCTAGATGTGCCTGACTTGCCTGTTTGTTTTGAAAGGCACACGCAGAGTAATCCATCCAAGAAAGGTACACTATTTTTCCTGTCATATGACCTAATAACAACACAATGACAATAACTCACTGCACATTAGTGTTGTCACAATACAAACATTTCAAACTCAATTTCAATACTAAGAAATAGACTCGATACTCAATACCAACTCCGATACCACAATGATAATAAAAACACTTTCATTAGTCAGAATGTGATTTTCAACCTTAAATAATAGTACTTTATTTTATATTACCATGAGGCCTTATATCTGTGTAATCTCTCCGTCATCCAGGTAGGTTCCAAAGTGGTTCATGGGCGTATTCGATGTGGTTTTATACTTGTTCTGATACAGCTCAAGATCATTCTAAAGCTATTCAGGAAAGGTTCAATTCTGTCCTGTGAATATGACGATTGGTATCTTATTTTCTATACTTTTGACAACCCTATTGTACTGGAATAATTGTTGCAAGTCTTTCATAAAAGCAAGACTCATTTTATAATAATAAAGGCAAAGATTTTTTTGATTTGCATTTTGTAAACATAGTCTATATTTATTCAAGATTGAGTAAAAACATCTACTCATATCCAGAATATTGTCTTAGTGTGTTATTAAAAAAAATGATTAGATATGTTTTATACTCACTAAAATTATAAATACAGTAGAATAATTAAAGTTGAATGCAATTTCTTCAACAAAGTGGTCAGAATGCATTGTTATTAATGACTTTTTTGCAGTAATTGTTGTGTCCATGAAGAAAATCTGAAGAATTAGGCTACTTACCTTCTGCGCTCAAGACGCACACAGCCAATACCAACAAAAGTAGCGTCACGTAGCGACTCATGGTTCCCGGAGAGAGCCTTTCTTCCACAAAACACTCCGCAATTTCGGGTTAAAACTGTCCACTTCGCACTTCTCAGCCCTCGGTCAAACTCTCCTGCTCCCCTCCTTGTTGTTTCAGCCTCGTCCGTGCGCCTGGTTGTGCAACTCGGAGCGTGCGTCCCGTGCGCTTCCCCTATTCCCAACCTCCTCGGACTGTTTTAGCTCGCTCCCTCTCTCTCTCCCTCTTTTAAAAGCAGCCCGCTGTTCCCCCGCTCATTAATATGCACGAGCAGACAGCGAATCAAGCAGTGTGGACAGCAAGCCCGAGTGGGAGAGGGAGAGACGGAGCGCACAGGAAACGCGATTGTGGAGGCCAGAGGTGACGTGTGAGTCCGCGACCTGATCTGAAGACTTTAATTCACTGCGATGACTGAAAAGTATGCCCAGTTGCCTACCGCGTACCGGAAACGCCAACAATGCGCTCTTTTACGCATCGCTTACCCAAAACAGACAAGAGCGGTATTGTTGGCGGAAAAACAGCACGGAGCAAATTCAAAATTGTATATTTATGAATCACATTAGCAGTACAGCATGAATAGAGTGGCAACAAGTAGGCTATTTATTTCCAGCTGAAGTATTGACACGTTATTTGGTATGTGCGTAAAATGTTATGTAATTGATGTCAAGCTTTTGAATAACTAGGCTACGTATCTTGTCTATTTTCTGTGCATAGTGTCAGGGTATTAGGTGACATGTAGTTGCTTTAAAATCAGGACCAATGACAGCCTGATTCATCAGCCGGTTTCACTTCGTAGAAATCGTCTGACCTTGCAACGTTAAAATTCGTTCCCTCGACGGTAGGCGGGCACTTTTTTAAATTTAACCAGTTACTGCTATTTGGTTGTGACGTATGTAGGCTAACAGGTATATTAAGCTTTTCCCACATCCTGTAGGAAGAAGAGCAATCATTGATAAAATTCACCAAACATTCTCTTTTTTCCGGCTTTAAATTCTCGATCTCGGGAATCGTTGCCAACACAGAATGTACGGCTCTTCGCTGATTGGCTGTTGCCCAAACTCACACTTCTGGGGTTTTTGCGAACAGTTTAGTGTATTCCGATGCCTGACCTAGACGCTGGAGATAAATGAAAATGAGAAGAGGCACTTGGTGGCACCAGCCTGACTAAATAACAGGTGCACGTATTGTCGAATCAGGATATATATATAGTCTGAATAGGGCCTACCAGTCTACTCTGTGTTGTTTAGTTACGGTACGACAAAACATGCATCATGAAAAATATACTTTTTAGAGCTTTTAACCAAATTATAATTGCTTTTCTTCTCATTTACCCTCTCGAAGTTGGATTTGGAGTGATTTGTGTATGTCTATGTAAGATTAATTCTTAATTCATCAAAACATCATTGCTCTGAACTACCCCCATTTTCTCCACCAGTGCTCGCTGTAACAGAGTGGAGTGAGAGTGAGATTTAGGTGAGGCTTTTCTCTAGTGTCTCCAGAGTTTACCTGCGTCCCCCTGGAGGGTGCAGGGATGTCCGAGCGTCAGGACAGACAGGAGAGACACTTTGGTCCTGTGTGATGTTACTCTCCTAACTGCCCTGATACTGGATCTGATGACATGACCTTTTCAGCTGTACTGAGACTTTTGTTTGAGCTTTCTATTATTTTATTATTCTACTGTAAAATACAGTGATAATGATTGATTAAAAATGTACGTAAAGGCAGAAAGAATTGACTCCTGATGCCTCATTGGGAACCACAATTTTCCAACCTGTAAGTTGTTTCTTTTATTAAGTGGTTTTAGATTAATGTTGAAATTTGAAATGTCCAACAACATAAAGATCCACATGTGTCATAGATTATAACTATAGACCAGACAAAAGCACAAAATGTCTTGTTCAGGTTTTCCATTTTCCAGATTTTTAGTTTAGAATTACATTATTTTTAAATGCGTACAATGACGTAGTTAGATTAGACTTCCATGAAAGCCACATTTAGTGCTGTAATCCATGCCATTATTTCCTAATCCCATCTGTGCATATGAATAAACTGGGCCTTTGTGCCCGATGATGGCAGAGGCCTGAACATTTGGCCTGTAAGAGATAGCCCTGAGAGAAGGTCTGACCCCACCCACCTGGGACGCCCGGTCACCACATTAAAGTACCCCCATCAGCACACTGCATGGAGCTCTGCGACTTTAATAGAGCGTACAGCAACCTGAAATGTGTTTGGTATTGTCATCAGTCACATGGCGGCCATGACACGTCACTGCCTCTCTCTGTTCTAATGTTCAAGCATCACAAATACAGGTGGATCAAAATTGCACATTTAAACAAACAAACAAAAAAAAGGCTACAGTTATTTTCATTTCAATCTTTTGTTGACAAACTTGACACAGTCAATGAGAGAAAAATGTTTTCTTTCCAGAAATCAAAAGACAGGATGAAGAATGTTTTATTTACCTGGCTGCCCAGAACCATGACTGTGAGTGTGATTGACAGGAGCATAAACCATTCAGAGACGCTTGGTCCGCTCATATTAAAATTAAACATCACTGCTTCTACCTAAAAAAGAAAACTCTACATAAAAGACAGAGAAACAGTGTGGATTTTTACAGAATCAGCAATCAAAGCATCAGACTATTACTTATTTCAGGTAAAAAACTTTATACATTTTGTTCTGAATGCTATGAGAATTTTCAAGAGATGACTTCAACATTTGAGAGACATGTGCTACAAATTAGAAGCTATGGTTGGATCTTCTCAAGTTCGGATGGAGGTTTTTCACACTCTATGCTCCGGTTCCAGACCATTCTGGATTCAAACCACATTTTTTATTGTATATAGAATTATATAATTCAGTGTTCTCAACTTTGGGGATAAGGGATTGCAAGGCGACTCCAAAGCACTGTCTGGTTAGAGGGCCAGGCCATTAAAATGTTATTGGAGCAAATTAAATAATACAAATCCAAAACATACAATTGGATTAAGGGCCATGAGCAAAGCACTCAGTTGTTTTAGTTATAGACCACAGTTTTGGACTGGGGAGCAAGTTTCTGATACAAGCAGGTGGAGCTTGAAGGAAAAAATATGTGGGAACCATGAAATAATTGACTCATTATTCATTATGAATTCATAATTTGATAATATATAATCTTTAAGAAAATCTTCTTTTCTCTGATTTGATTTGACTGGTGTGAGTGTATGTTGTGCTCTTTATTCAAAGTGAGTTTTGGGCTGTCTCCTGCACTCTTTTACTGAGTACTGATAAGTCTGGTTGACATATTTTTTCTGGATTCAACAATTTTGCACAATCAGTACTTGATTGCAAAGAGAAACAATTTATCTACAAAATCAGGTGACGTAATAAGTTGAATTACTGTTGGCTCCAATCAGTTTGAGCAGTGTTTCACAAAGTGTGGTCCAAGTATCATGTCCTTTCAACAAAATCAATGTCAGTTCAACATAAAGCCTTTCAAGCAACATTCAAACACCAGTCTGTCCAGATTTTATAGTCCCACATATGGACCTCAAACCCTATTTTCGAGCCTGACAGCATGCAGACCTGCTCCTCTCATAAAGCCAACGTCTGCTCTGTAAACTCCATTGGGGCTGGTGTCTTAAAGCAGTTCTCAGTCTGCTGCGCTGAGTGCACTTGTGTAACTCTCTCAGCACGCATAAACTTCTGTTCAACACTGTTTAGTCTGGCCCCCGTCCAACCATCGCAAAAGTAAATATACCTGACCTATTTCGGACATATTTTTACCACCCAAAACGCAGAATGGATAAATGTTTTATTTTTGTATTGAGAGGACACACAAATAAGAATAGAAAAATTATGAAAAAAAAAGAAGATAAAAAAAACATTAGGGTATTACACTTCTATGGTACCTTTTCTGATTTGAAAATGCTTTATTTGCCAAAAACAATGTATTGAAATTAGTTTCACTTCCATTTTTGAATTAAAAGCTTTGTTACATTTTTTTGCTACTTTTAATTTATTTGGCCCATTTTATTAATTTTCGCCCTGACATGTGACCTTAATTTTCCTGCCGAAGCACACGGTGTTCAACTGGAGCTCTGCACGGTGCCTTTGGTTTGATTTGCCGTGCGGAGAAGAGACGAGAACTAAACAGCCACAAACTGATCTGTGCTCGTCAACATTAGGACTGATATGAGTGAAGCCTCTTAGCTCAAATTACGCGTTACGAGTCGTCAAAGCAGACCATGTGATTAATCTGCGTCAATTTGCTTTGTGTTTTTTTTATTTATTCATTGATTGTAATTTTTTTTCAACTTATAATTATTTTGTACTGTGCAGCTTGTTGTAAATGTGCTATACAAATAAAGCTGACCTTAATCTAGACCTAACATGACCAGTTTTTCCAAATTAAAAACTGAGACACCCTTGGTTATTGGTGCTTGATAATAATAAAATTGTGAAAAGAGCTCACATTAAGGAAAACCATTAGACACGCCATTCATGACAAGAACACAACACCAAGCACATTTTTCTACATTTTGACTAAACAAATTACAATCTATTTCCCTCTTTACTGTCGGCAAGGATCAGATTGGTCAAAAATAGGGACACCTAACTGGATTTTGTATAAATCTACTTGGACAGGAGACTCAGGACTCAAAATTGAGACTGTCCCGGGTAAACAGGAACATCTGGTTACCCACACTTAACTCAACAAGGCCATCCAAATGTCAACATTTTCATAAATACATCCCTTTTTGCTTTATGGTACTTTCAATTTGTACTGTCTGAAGCCACATGACTGCACAGAGTGTCAGTACTGCCAAAAGTTTTCTCTGCTTGATTCTGGGCATATCATTTCTGTAAAAGAATTTAAGTAATTTATCCTTCATGTTCATGTCTCAGTTTAACCTTGACTCACAAGAGCTATAGTAACATGATCATCTTCCCTTGGCATACCGTTGACACACCACTATATAAATTTTGGTATATTGCTGTCCAACCGGTGCCTACTGGCCTTCACAGTTTCACCACACTCGCTTTATAAACCTCCTTCTTTGGAAGCATAACCAAAGGGACTTAAACGCTCAAAGATCATACCATGTTCACTTTCGAAATCATACTATGTTGACTTTTCATATCCCCCCGGGCCTGTATTATTGATATAAATAAACTTCTCCTGCTTAAGACATCCAGTTGGTCTCCAGCCTTTTACTTTCACCCTTTCTTGGACAAGCTGAAAACTTCTACAACAATTTCTTTGTGGAATGAATGCGAGAAGGATAATCCAAACTTAATGAAGTCCACTTGTGCAAGAGC